TATTGCATTACCTCTGCGATTTTTCCGCCAAAAAGTCTCTCACTCGCATGAGAGATGAAATTTCTTAGAACTCTGTGTAAGAAGTAGAAATTTTAGGGCTTCTTGCCACTTGCGAAACAATTTTGCGACAATTTATGCTTGATTCAAATTAATTTCTCCATCTATGAGATTTTTTTCAGCACAACTTAAACGTGTTATCAAGTGAAGGCCTTATTTTAAACATTGACGCGGAAAAAAATAGCGTGAAACGCATCAGGATTTTTTCAGAACACTTTCCTTTTGGGAAATTGTTTTTATTTGTTTGTGTTTGTGAAACAAACGAAATTCGTTTTTGAGATAGATCATAGAAAATTCGTATTAGGATTGAATTTCGATCTTGAAGTTAAGAAGATACTGAAATTCTGGGATTAAATATTCATAATATTGACATTTGTGCAAAAGTAAAATTTAAATAACATTCAATCGATTCGATTCAGCAAAAAATAATGAATTTTGATATTTTCATTATCCCTCGGAAATTCTAATAATCACCCAAGCGTTTCACATTACAGCATGAGAGCAAAATCAAAATTAAAAATAATCTTCGCATGAGATGATTCCATGGGACTAAAAAAGTAGAATTTGTCTCGCTTGCAAATTTAATTTGAATTTTTATTTTGTCACTTTCAACATCGTCTTACAATTTTCACGTACAAATCCACAGGCTTGACCACGAACGGATGCGGAACAACTTTGTTGGGAACCTATTTTCAAATGAAGAAAAGAAAGCAAAATCGTTTTTAAAGAAATACAGTATTTCCAAGTCATGCTGATATTCGTACTCACGTTCGTCTTTTGGCATTTCAAAAAACTGAAATTATGCACCATTGTCGCAAGTGCAAGTTTAGCTTCTTCTTGAGCAAATCTCATCCCGATGCAATTTCGAGCTCCGTTTCCAAATGGCAAGTATGTGAATGGTTTGATTTTGGATTTGTTTTCCGGAGAAAATCTGAATGTGTGAGGAAATAATTTTCAAACTTAAAGTAACGTTTTCCATTCACAGATTCGAAACACAAGTTGTTTCGGTGAGAATAAATCACGTTCAAAAATTTAGTTGGAACGTGAAGCAATTATTTTGATGAAATTAAAACAAAATTTCGTCATCTATATAAAAGCAAAAGACGACGATGAGAAAAATAGTAAAAATCACACGCGTATTTTCTTCTGCAATTCCAAAAATTTTTATGTTTACCGAAAAGTTCATTTTTTTAACGTTTTCCTGTCATTAATAAAAAACATGCTCAATAGAGGAAGAGAACGTTCATAATTTGACTCAAATAAAACTTGAAACTTCAATTCCGCTAAATTTTCGACCGGGACAAAGTAATTCCACGTCAGAAGGTATTTTGAACGACTCGATCGTTTGATGTCAAACATTTTCCAAACCTTAAATTTACAATCATGGAACAGGAAAATAAGATAGAAAATAATTAGAAAATCTATACCTGTCTGGATCAAACTTTTCGGGATTTGAGAAGTTTTCCGCCGAATGATGCATTGCGTAAATCGGAAAAGCAACAACGTCTCCGATGTTGAACTTAATTCCTTGGACTGTACACGGGTGTGTGCACACTCTGTCAATCCTTTTTTGTAGAATTGAAAAGACAAATTTGAGTTTCATAGCGTATTTCGTTCATTGGAAACGCTTATACCTTATCGGTGGAGCAGCAATTCGCAGAGTTTCGCTCAAAACCTGGTCCAAGTAGCCGCAGTCAGCGATCATTTCATGGGAGATTTTTCCCTGGACATGAGAAAACAGTCAACTTTTGCTCATTTTCAAAATATCTGTGTAGTGCTTAAAATTTGTTGGACAATCAGATGCTGTACTGCTCTTTATTGATCAAGGATGAAAATTAATCAGGATGAAAAATGTTAACTGGTGGGGAAAATAATGCGGATTGAGAGCCAGAAAAGGCAGAAAATTTGAATGTTGCAGAATTAAAGGTACTTTCCTGTTATCTCAGTACCCATTTTTCTTTGTCTCGTGAATTCAGTATTTGTTAGGTTAGGTTAGGTCAGGTTACGTTAATCAAAAGATATTTGTAACAAACATAACCTGACCTAACCTAACTTCACCNAAACATAACCTGACCTAACCTAACTTCACCTAACCGCCTCCCAAAATCAGTTTCAGCAGAATGCGGTAAAATGAAATTCACAGTTTCTGGTAGGTGCATGGGAAGTAGGCACTGACATAACAGGAAAGTACAGAATTAAATTCATTCATGATACAAGAAACTGGATTTTTGAAGTCACTGTTTACACCAAAACCTTGTGCACCGGTGAGATTAAAATCTTATTGGGTGCAGGTTTCCCAGATTCATATCACTGCAGAGAAAGTTAGGTTTGCAAAAGTGAGAATATGTCAAGATCCGTCAGTTGGATCAATTTTCATATGATGATAGAAAATATAGCCCCTCTTGGCAACCTGGTAAATCCCTGAAAAAAAATCCCACCTTTACCACAGGAGTGGACAGCCAGGAACCCTCCACTGTCCAAGGGTTAAAAAAATTATATTCGTTTTCTGGGAGACGCTTTAAATATACACTTTGCCAATTTGACTTTTACCTCGTTTCGGGTTATGGAAGCGCTGATTTCCTTAGCAAGTCTGTCTTGAATTTCAGGTTCGAGTGCCAAATAATGGCAAGCCATGGCAAGCACTGATGCCGTGGTCTCGAAACCAGCCAAGAAGAAAATAATGCTTTGGGCAACAACCACTTCTTCCGTCATAACGGGCTCTTTTGTCGGATCATTTCTCAACGCAGCTGCTTCATTGTCCATCTCCTCGATCATGACGTCCAAAACATCTCCTCGTTTCTATCATCAAAACAATTTACTCATTTTTCAAATGAATAAACAATAAATCAGGAGAAGTGTAGTTATATACTAAACGTGTTTTTCTGCTCGACGAGTCGCAATGATCCGCGTCACGACGTCCGCAAAAAATTTAATGTCCTCTTCCGATAAAAACTTGATGCCCAGTTTTGCGATCCACGGGAAAAGAACTGCAAAATTTGGCACATTGAGCGTTTAAAAAATCAACAGAATTTTCAAAATATCTTCAATTTATAAGTGATGTTCCAACGTAATTTGGAAGACCAAAAATATTTTTTAATTAAAAAAAAACTATGGTTAGAATATTTGCGGCGGAAATTACGAGAGCAATTCCTTCGGCGATTTCAGGAAAAATTTTTTCATCACGGATACAATCTATTTTGAGATGCAGAAAACTACACCCTGGAAGCCCAGAAAGGGCTGGAAGATTCTCAGATTATTGTGGAGTGTTCAAGCCTTGGTTTGCTGCATTTTTTTTTTTAGACAGGAAAGGAAAAGGGAAAGTATTCTTGTTTTAGCACATGGTTTGCTCACTTCTGGATGCTAACCTGGAGGCAGCAGGGACCTGGTTTTGTGACTGGTTTTCTTAAGATTGCCAGGTTTTATGTTATTGATGATTTAGGTTTCTCAGTATACAAAATGGGTGAATATTTTTGTGGAAAGCATCAGACCATTTTTAGCTTTGAAATTTGAAGGTTCCCTTCCATCTTGGGGATTGTTGTGAAATAAAACTGGGTGGGTGTAGGATGTCCAGTTTTATTTTGTGGAGTGTGTTCTCTTTTATTTTTGTCATTAGTTTGTGCTTTGTTTCATGCTTTGAAATGATTGAATGTATTTGGGGGAGTTGGGTTGGGTGGGGAGGGGGTTTGAATTTGGGTGTTCTGGTTATGCCTTGTGAACGCTGAAAAGTGGCAAATAAAGTTTTCTGTTCATTCATTCATTCAAATAAAACTGTTGTCAGTAGAGTTCTTGCCTAAATTCTTCTTCAAACATCAGCCTTGTTTTAAGCCCAGCATCAACTTAAAACTTTAAAATAAGCGCAGCATGAAAAATCAAATTACAAATAATTAGTTTATAAAAATCAAGCATGATTTTCTCACGTGGTATCAAAATGAGAGGAGAATTCATGTGCACTGTGCCAATGAACTTCTTGGTCTTCATGATGAAGATATTTTTGGGGTCATCCAAAGCGTCAATTTTTGTGCCAAAAGCGCAGCTTGCAATCACGTCCAATGTGTACATTCCATACAACCTTCAATACATCAATTGATTATTCAATTTTTCAGCATTTTTTTCTGACCAATCAGGATGAAAATTCTGGAGAGAAAATCTCTGGAATGACGCATACATCAAAAATTTGATACGCATTGGTCCAAAAATTGTCAAGTACTCAAAAATTATTGATGATTGACTCTTGAGGAAAGTATTTGAACAACAAAAAATTTGGTGGAAACCGCCCAGTTGGAATCTTCAACTTGGAAAATATTTATTTGTAAATAACATCATTCTTTTTTTATGAAATGATTAAATAATTATGGTCTCAATATTTGTGTGTGTAAAATTAAATTACTCATCGCCAAAAGAAAAGTTTAATTTCACAAGTTGGCCTCATCATGAGGATCTGGAAAATTGGGCATATATTGCATGTACTATTTTTCCCTATTCTCTTTTTGTTGGGAAATTTGCTCATGTTGAGCAATTCAAGTATTTTACATGGTAAAATTTTGCGATGAATACGTGACTATACATCTTTTGAACTGCTGGTTTAAAAAACATTGATGCATCATTAAAGACCTGATGCCTTTTCTTGCATGCTTTGAAATTTATTTTCCTTGGACTGTAAATGGCTTCTGAATTTTCATTTGAAAATATATGTTGGAATTCCGAGGAGGAAATGAAAAACTTACTCTCTCAGTTCGACTAGGCCGTCATTTTTGGTTGCTCGATCAGCCGTGACTTTGACAAGACTTTCGCAGCATTCCTCCATTAATCTAGACATCTGAATTGAACAGAAAAATTTCAATTTCAAATTCCATGCATTTTTGTGGTATTCTTGTGCTGACCCATTTGATTTTGCCAGAAGAGAAAACTGGAGAAACTCCGTTGCGAACGTCTTTCCAGTCTTGGCCGTGAAGATCCGACAAAAATTTTCTCACGTATTTCTGGGTCTTCGAGAGAATTCCCTGTTTATGAAAAAATTGCATTAAATTGTTGGTAAGTTTGAAAAGTTGGAAATTGACACAATTATTCCCAAATACCCTTCTGTCCACGAAATTATCGAACTCTTTGACGGTGACTGCTTTGATGATTTCCGGGTCCGAAGTCACGTAAATTGGGTTTTTCCCTTCGAACATCCTAATTTATCGAAGAAAAAAATTGTTTTCACTTGTATATTTACAAGAAAATTCATTTGTACTTTCTGAGTTTTTTCTTCGAAAAGCTATCTTGTAATTTTTACAGTTTTCGCGAATAATAGAACAGAAGCTCAACTTGACAATCACAGCAAAACAAGAGTTCAAGAGTTTTGAAAATATTTCGGAAATACATTTGTGGTTCCCGAATTTCAGCTTGAAACTTGAAAAGCTGTCCGGAATCAAAAATTTATTCCAATAATTCTTTCATTTTTTGCATTGGCTTCAGTTCTTACCCTGTACAGTAACTTTTTATCAAAAATTCTCTTGTAGCAATTCTAAATTTTGAAAAAGCCATCATGGGTAATATGATGTGATCATATGTACATATACAGTACAGTACTGTATATGTACAAGATACTATATTTGAATAATTTAAGACATTTGGGGAACATCATAATTGATGGTTTAAGATTTAAAAAACATTCAAATATGTCCTGTGGAATGTTTTTCTTATTAGTGATGAATTCTACTTTCATCTGTATGTTTTCACTCCAATTCAAGATGAGTGAGCAAAAATGTGATTAATGGCTTGGAATATTCTATATAGCCATTGTGTTCCTTTGAATGGAGAGGGAAGAACTTTTTATGCAGTAATAAAAAACTCTTCCATGAAGTCAAGGGTTTATGCACAAATGAAGATATTCCTGCAAAAATTATTAAATTGGACCATAAACTCACCCATACAGTTTGCCGTATATTCGGAGTCGCTCCACTTCGATTTGCATATTATCCTGAAGTAAATGAAAAAATTCAAAAAAAAAATTCTCAAGACCCTGGTTAGAATTTCCATTTGCTGGATAAATCTTACTCGTTTCCAGACCTTCCACACGTTGCCAACCACAGGTAAAATCGGTTGAACAGTCGGAATCCCTTGTTTGGAGAAAAAGTCGAATCCGAAGAAGGCATAACGAATGAACCACAGGACAAGAAAGGTTATTAACACCAAAACCAATGGTATTTCTTCGCCAAGAATTATCATTTTCTTCAAAATTACAAAATGTGCACTTCCGCGAATCTTTCCTGTAAATGGAAAAAATCTGAATATACCAGCTGGGAAATTTTAGAATTTTCTCAATTTTGCTCATGCAAATTCGTATCCGGAAAGAAAAGGATTCGAAATTTCTTCACGGATAAGATGATGTTTCTCTCTCTTGGTGGAATACTTTTTTTTCAGTTTCATCCACATTTTATCTAGACTTTCGTGCTGAACTCGAAATTCAAATTTGTGACATGGGCCTCCCGTGAAATTCATGTACTTTTTTGGTCAGAATACAGTGTTTTAAAAGTATGTGGCTGATTTGAGAAAATATGGGGAAAATTGACCTGTTTCCATGGTTTCTGTTGCTCCAATTTTATTGACAATTAGATGAATGTTTGGTCTGATGAGAATTGGGTGACGCAATTTTTTCACTCAGTATTTTTCTCAATCTGCATTTTTCTCAATTTTACAAAGAAAGAGTATAGAAATCAATCTCTTCAGAAAAAAGTCACGACTAAATACATTTGTTAAATGCATGGAAATAATCAGATGATTTTGTCAAAGTACCGGGAACAGGTTCATTGCGAAGTTTTTTTTTCAGAGCATTTTTTTTCATTTCCAATGACTTGCAAAATGTTCGAACAAAATCACGGTTGGCTATCGGAACTATACAAAACGACCACGAAGTAAAATAAAAATCTTGAATATTCGATGGTCATCAACGAAATCTCACAGGAAACAGCGATAAAATGTGATGCTCGAATATTTTCCCAAAGAAATATCCAAACTTTCTTGTTCTTCTCTTTGTTCACTTTCTCACTCCCTTTTGTCGAATTTCACGAACATTTCAAGAGGTTGGATCATGAAAGCATGTGACTTGGTTTTGAAAGGGACCTTGAAAAAAGAAAAACAAAGAGTATAATTAAGTAACCTATCCACCTCAGAACGTTGAATGGAAAGAAATAAATGCTTTACGTTTGTTTTCTCGCATTTGGAAAGCTTGAAATTGTGCACAATTGTGGCGAGAGCGAGTTTGATTTCTTCTTGTGCAAATCGCATTCCGATGCAGTTCCTGATCCCATTCCCAAATGGCAAATAGGTGAAGGGTTTTATATTTCCTTTGTTCTCAGGAGCAAATCTGGAAAATTCATATTCCTCAATGTACATAAATTCGTGTCAGTGAAACTTGCTGCTTTTTAACTTGCCGCACACCCAACCTGCCGCAAGCAGTTGAACTTGCCACTGTCACAACTTGCTGCAGTGTTAACTTGCCACTGTGATAAGTTGCTGCAGGTGGAAGTTGCTGCTGCAACAACTTACCGCTGTAATGACTCGTTGCTATCACAACTTGCCTCATGAATTGCAGCCACTTGCTATTGCATTGACTAAAATTTCAGGAAAAAATGAATTCCCACATTCCCAGTGAGCACAAAAATCTCAATTTTAGATCCAACTTTAATCCAAAGCAACTTACCCAAGAATCTTGCCAAAAAAATGACAAGTTTTGGACAAGTTGCTTTGGATGAAAATCAGACAACGTGTCCAATTCTGATCCAAAAGCCATCCAAAACTGGTTGTCTGGTGCCAGTGATACTGTGTGGACAAGTTTGGAGGACTTGTCCGTGCATTTCTGTTGCCAGTGTCTGGCAGTTTGTGCTCTGGCGGACAAGTTCTCCAAACTTGTCCGCCAGAGCACAACTTTTGTGGACATTTTCTCCAAAAGATGTCCATACAACTCATTTGGATGAGTTTTGGACATCTTTTGGAGAATTTCTTCCTCACTGGGTTCTTCCACTTTACTAAGCATTCTGCTGTGTAAATTTTTTTAGAGCATGTAGAGGGGGTTTCAATGAATTCATTCATCCTGAACTAGTACTATTGGTGGCTAAATGCCGTGCATTTTATTTTTGATGGCAAGGCTTTTTTCATCTTATTCTATTGTGCATTTTTTTCAATTGCAAACATGTTCTGCTGTGTGAATTAAGTTTTAAATAGTTCTAGAACTGTCTGAATTAATCATCAAGTACAGCAAGTAGAAAGCATGGCAACTTATAACTACTGCAATTTGTGACTGTGGTGAGAAATGATTGCGGCAACTTGTTGCAGCAGCAACTTGTGACTGCAGTCAGTTCAGGCTGTGGTCAGTTGCAGCAGCAGCAAATTAGGGTGCGGCAAGTTGAAGTGCGGCAAGTTCAACTGCGGCAAATTTCACCTGCACTCATAAATTGATGTATGGTTCATATCACCTTTGTGCGAAATAACCTCTCATTGTTAATAAAATAATGTAAATTATACCTTTGTTATTTTTATTGTTATTCACCTGTCAGGGTCGAATTTTTCGGGATCCGGAAAGTTTTCTTCCAAGTTATGGATTGCGTAGATGGGAACAGTGACAACGTCATCCTTTCTAAATTTAATTCCTTGAACTGTACACGGATGAGTGCACACTCTTTCAAGCCTTCGAAAAATTGAAAGAATATTATTTCTTGAATAAAAACAAATACAATAGCGATTATTTTCTGCATATACAGCCCACCTCAACGTTGGTGGAACAATCCTCAGGCTTTCATTCAGAATTTGGTCCAAATAATGGCATTCTGCGATCATTTCGTGACAGATTTTACCCTGAGAAAAAAAATTATTTGATCACATAAAGTCCTCCAATTGGTCATTTTTTCACTTCACTTATTTTGGACGTAGTGGTTAAAATATGAAGTGCATACATAAATGTATTTGAAAAAGGGAGCAGACAATAATCCTAAATTACAATATCATCAATTTTCACGACCCACAAATACAAGTATATTTTCTCGAATTCTTTTCCCTCTCTAGCCTATGCAAAATCTATTTGGTAAAGCTCAAAGTTGAAGGAATGACGGAAAAACCCGTTCACATGGAAACATAAAAATCCAAACACAGTAATAATTCAGAAGGCAATTTTAATTACTTTTTCAGGAGCGGGTTATTGGAAAAAATTCGTGGAATATTGAGGAATAAATTCGGAACAAACCTCGAATTTCTTCATCGTCGACCGGATTTCGTTGAGGCACTTCTGCTGTACTTCCTGATCCAGTGCCAGGAAGTGACAGCACATGGACAAGGTAGATCCGGTGGTGTCGAACCCAGCCAAGAAGAAAACGACGCATTGTGACACGATCACTTCCTCGGTCATCACGGGTTTCCGGGTTGGGTCAAGCTTCAAAGCAGCTGCTTCTTTGTCCATTTCTTCAATCATCACGTCAAG